CGTTAGAGAATACTGAACACATGACCAAAACAAAGACCAAGGCTGTTTCACCACTGACGGAGCAGCCATCTTCCTGTGGACCCACCCCCTGCAGAGGATCAGCGAGGGACTGGTGCTATGAGCGTTGGGTGGCAGCTCTCATCGCCACCCCCCCGACCCAGTAATGCACTAATAAAGGGGTTGAAAATGAATGAATGAATGAACACATGACCAAAACATTTATATTGTATAGTATTCCGTTACTTTGGAAAAAATGGAAACTGTATACCAAGTACATTTATTGGACCATTGCCTTTTACTGTATAACTTTCCTCATGAACAAACAAAATCCCTCTGGAAAAATAACCTTGCTAATTTACAATCACACATGCGCAAACACACACATACACGCACAAAACACACACACACACTGAACTTCCACAATATGAATGCATCAATGTCCCGTGTGCTGATGTTGTGGTCGCTATTATCCTTTTACTTTGGACCCGAAAAGCTGTTTCTTAATAATAATTAGAACTATTGTTAGCTTTTTAGAATGATCAATTTATTTGTTTGAAATGTCAAAGCTGGTCTTGACAAATGTCTGTACTACTGCTAAAGTATTGAATGGTGACAATAATGCACTATTTCTTCAATACATACAATATGATAAATATATTTTACCTTTTGTTCTGTAGAAAAGACACGGCTGCTGGTCTGCATCATAGTGCCATTGACCCACTGAGAACAAATGAAGGTAAACAACATTAGAGTTGTATCGCTGCGGATGCGTAATCTAATCACTATGTTCAAACTGTCTGCCTCCATCATGTGAAATCATAAACTCGCTCTCTTCTGCTGATTATGGCTGATTCTGATCGCCTCAGACAGCTGCTTCCATTGGAGAGAAAGAAAAGGAGCAAAGAGAGAACCAGAGGAAAATCACATCGAATAAGCTGTATTTCTTTTCTTCTTCACTACAAAATAAAAGCTGCTCTAGAAAAGATCTGCATGGAGGAATGGGCCAAAATACCAGGAGCTGTGTGTGAAAACCTTGTGAAAGCTCCCAGAAAACCGATGGACATATAACAAAGCAATGAGATGGACTTTGCAGCTGTATTTGTTAAAAAAAAACCTAGTTGTGATATCTGGATTGTTTTTCTATTTTTTTCCTCTCTTAGTTGTTACAGGCATCGCTCATATTTTTATGTAGGAGAATTTGCACAATTAGTGGCTAACTAAACACTTTTGCCCCACTCTCTGCTGCCGGGGAATGTTTTACCTCATTTTAAAGAGATTATTCTCTGGAAAACCACTGCATCCTTCATTTTGCTCTAAACAATTCAAAACTGAATTAGTAATTCATTTAGTACTTTAATGTTTTACCAAAATACATGGGTCTCAAAGTCAAGGCCTGTGTGCCAGATCCGGCCCATAAACAAATTATCTTGGCCCCTGGAATGATATTTGATAGAACCGGCCCGTCCAGATCCAAAAGAAAATATAGGATTATTCATTTATTTCATTTTTATTCAGGACACGTGTTTTCTCTTTGAAGGAAGTTTGTGTTTTTGTCTGTGAGCCTGCTGAAAAATGTGTTCACTTGATATTGCTGATAGAGCCAGACAAAAATATTGGATTGTTCATTCAATCATTAAATAATATACAGAACACTATGTCTTGGTTCAATAGGTTTTATGGAATCCTTTTGACATGTTTTATTAAACATTGAACCAGTTCGGCCCTCGGGCCTGTTGAAAATGTGTTTTTTTTTTATGTCCTTGTATGTATTTGACTTTGACATCCCTACCTTAATACATCTTTACAAAAGTACAAATTACATTTTGTATATATACATTTTTAACCTGTCACCTTGAGTGAAGGACTAAACTTCTTCTCTCTCCTCTGCAGTCACTAAAGGGCCATATAGGGATGGACAGAAGGTTATGTGACATCTGTGCGGCCCAGATGTGCAAAGCTTTTGTTAGTTGCACTAACACTGGAGTCTTGGGGACCGTTGACAAATAATTGTGTGCAGGTAGAAAGGTGTTGCAGCCTTGTTCCCGAGGCAAAATTGTTCAATGTAAGGAATATCTTTTTATGTACTTGAATAATATTGAGGAGTCTACAAACATATACAAAGGCTTCTCCCTTTGGATCAGACTGGTGCACAGAACACAGGACTGGTCTGCTTACACAAGCACTGGCACGAGCTGGATGCAAGATTCGACTGGGTCACATATCAAGAGTCAGGCAGCTGTCATTAGCTCCACCACTGTGAGCAATCAATCAATGACATTTTTCATTATAAATGAGTTGCAGAAAAATTTAATTTGAGCATGTTTCTACCTCAGGCCGTATTTAAGAAAATCTATATTTTACACCATTTCTTTGGATGTTGTATTATTTATCATCATACCTGAGAACTATTTGTGATGTAATTGCTAAAAGGCTTCAAACCATGTTTTTATTGACTCTTCTAAACTGACTTTGCTTCATTAAATGTCTTTAACTAGCGTAATAATGAATCTTTGGAGACTACGCACTTGTGTGCATGGAAATAATAGGCTCTCCCTCTTGCCTTGTATTGGCTCTAACAACCTCTTATGTAATAATTTCAGTCATTAAGCTTTGACTGTTAGAGAAAGTGCTTATTGTGCTGTAGGCAATGTAAAAAGTATTTGTGTCAGAAACTTAAAGTCAAGTCAAAACTAGTTTCAGGAAACTATATATACAATCGGAGGATACTTTACACTGTTTTCTTATACCTTGTCATTTTGCTTAGTCTCCTTTAAAAGCCTTATCTTGTAATGGAATAGAGTGTGCATGTCCTTGAGCAGTTGCAGCCAAGAGAAAGGCTGATTCTCCATATGGAAATCTGTAACACATCACACAGAGCACGTTATCACATTAAAAGCTGCTTGAACAGCTGATGAAAAGCTGTGACAGTCGGACAACTCTCTGGAGGAACCATCTGCCGTCGCAGCCTTCAATCCGGTTCAGCCTCTACATCACACCTTTGTGCGCTTTTCCTTATTCCTCTCTGAGGAGATGGCTCCAATCAAGTGGAGCTGCGAGGAGTGCTCTGTCAGCAAAGTCCTCAGCACCAGTGCAGTCGCTGAGCTGCTCCATGGCTCTTACCTTTGATCTGGTGACGACAGGGTTAAGTGACACTTGTACCATACCTGATTCTCTGAAAATCACGATTACACAAAGTCTGATCATGTCTGACTGAAATCATGTAAAGGATCATGTTTCTGTCCTTTTAGCAATGTATTTATGCACTTGCCTGGTGCACACTGGGGACTTTTGCAAATGTGTTCCAACAGTTTTACTGCAAATGGCAAATAAAATGATTCTGAATCTGAAGCATAAACAGTTGAAATTGTCAGTGTCTCTTCTCCATCACTAAAATATTTTTTATGAACCTGGCATTTTAATGGAATTGTGATTTTCATTTTAGTTATATGCATTTATGATGCAAAATAAGCTTATGGTCATGAAGATACTGTATGTCTAAACACTGAATACCTGCATTTCTACTAAAATAAAGACTATAACACATCATATCAAACACTGTTGTGTTTCCCTAAACCTTTTACAGAGGTCACTTTCATTGAATTTGTTATGAATTTTATTCATTTATTTCCCCAAAAAACTATTTTCATATATTTTATGTTTGGTACAAGAAGATTTACAATGAAAAAACAAGCAAAGAAAAACATGACCAAACAAAGAGCCTTGATAATCGTCATTTATAGTTTTCCTCAGACCCATTCGATCTGTTAAAAGCAGAAGTGACTGACAGAATGACAGAACAGACACAGAACAGTTGTAATGGACTCATGTTTGACGCCGGGCTGGCTGTCGCTGTGGCCCTCGCTCCATTCACTTCTCTCACTCACGTTGGGGGTACAGAGGAAGGCAGTGTTTTCTACCAGAATCCTTTTGAAAGACAGCCACACCAAGTTGCCATATACCTCCATGTTTTATCAGCATTTTGCAGTTTGTTATGGTGGTATCTGGGTTGGCTACGGTTTCATCGCATGTTTGTATCAAAATGATATAAGTAACACATGTAAAAAATAGGAGAAATATATTGAAACTGAAAAACAAAACTCGTTATGCGGATGTCTTCATAAAATCTTCTATGTCTAGCAACATTTAATAACACTTATATTCTCTTTTTATCCACATTCTCCCCATTGTATTAAAAAAATGGTTTGAGGAGCAGTTATAGTTTTGCATCATCTATACAACAGGCTATAAAACACCACTTTGTCACAGTCCAGAGAAAGCACATATAGATTGGTGGTTGTACTGTATATAAACATATGTACTGGTTTAAGATAATTTTGCGTGCATGGCTGGCTCCCATACTCCTCTGCTTTCCGGACTTATTGAAAGAACTCGCAACTCAGAGTTCAAACGAAAAAGGCATCCAGATTTCTTCACTGGCACAATGGACATTTTGTTCCTCTAAAACGTGGTCTTTTGGAAAGAAACCGCAATCTCGTTCTTTTCTTTGCGCCACAGTGGCAGCTCAGCAGTGTGAGTCTGTCCTGGCTGTGTTATAGCTGCTGATCCCATAGACATCCATAGATTTCCACATGTTTTTTTTCCCCCCGGACAATGTTTGGCGTAGTTATGCATGTAATATCTCTTTCCTCTAGAAAAATGTCTCAACAACACAAACACAGGCAATGTCAATGAAACACTGAGGCGCTGAATCTCCATTTTTTGTAAAGTGCATCTGTGCCCCCTTGTTTGTACGAAGAACAAAGGAGATAGATGATGCCGTTTGTGACGCCAAACGAAGCAACATATGGGAGAATGTTGTTTGGTCTTCTGTTCAGTTCTAAGCAGAGTTTTCAGACAGTCTCTTCAAGTCATATCCCTTCATTTACTTTCCAGAGCGTAGGAAATAAATGACTAATAGTGTTTTTATCATCTTAGTTCATACTGTACACATGATTTGTCTTTTGAGTAAAGTCAATCCAGTATATAGAAGGTTCCTGCTATCACACATAGTACTCCTTATCTTTATTTTTCTTGTTCTTTCCCGATGTTTTTGCGGTGTTGACAGGCTTTTCCTTGACAATCGTACCGTTGGACTGCGCCGAGTTGCTAATGTAGTTTCGGCTCTCGTCTACGTGATAAGAGCCCTCGTCCCTGTTGCGATACTTGTACATGGCGTATAGTAGGATGAGGATGCAGAGCGCGGCGGCTGCCACAATGCCCACCACCATCCCTGTTGTGCTGCTGGACTCGCGGAAGACCTCAGCCGATCCGGGGAATCTTTTGGGGCTGGCACCGGTGGGGTTGGCTGGGGACAAAAGACATTAAAAAGAATTAAATTTCACGTGGAAATCTCCTTAAATTCATGCTATATCCAGTGTTGGAAGGTAACAATCTTAGCAATGCTTTTTACATGATGGGGTCCTGTCAACAAGAAGTTAGTATGATCCAAAAAAATGTGTACTTTTCTTGTTTGTGTGTTTTCTTCCTCCGACACTCCAGCCTTTGACTTGTTTGTGAGCTTTCTAGCTGTAAATTTCACTGCAGTACAGAATCTATCAATCTATCTATCTCTGTAGAGAAATAATGCACTATTCTTCACAGGGTCAAAATACATTATGTAATTTTTGTATTTTTGAAAGATTATTTAGATGCTGTTATCTGGTTTGGTGTTGGAGTCCTACTTCCTTTGTTGCTATTGTAAACTCTCCTAAACTTAGCTCAGTGAGTAATGGTCTCTGAGATGGAGTTATCAGTGACTCCGTGCTGAAAAAGGCGTGTGTACTGTAAGATGCACTCCAAAATAGTCTCCAGTTGAGTCAGCACATTTGGCCAAAGGCTTTCCCCTCTATCTGAGTTTTAAATAGCTCCAATGAATGGAGAGTGTTCTGAAAGGTTCCTGATATTCCACAGTCTGCTTGGCACATGCATTTTGCTGTGGTCATCATTTCTGTCTAGGCTATTCTTTGTTTTTTGTCAGATGTCATATTTTGCACCGACAACTATGTTGAAATAAATAATATATCTGCTTCAGGTTTGATGCGTTTGAAGAAGGTGACATCATTTAAGTTGGCCTCACAATACATTTAGTGGTCATTATTCAGGGTCAGCATTTGACTTTTTTGCTAGCCTGGGAATAGCCATTCTGCTGTACTACTGCTTTGGAGAGTTTTGAGAATATTTTATCACATCCATTTTATTGTTCAAATATGAGTGAAGCAGACTCAATGACAGAATTTGCTGTGGCCAAGTGACAAGTGTGAAATCTGTCGCCTGAGAAGCCGTTCTATTTTACTGAACAACTTTAGACTAACTTAGTTTTAATTCATCTTTGAATTATTTATTTATTTAACTAGTACCCACTGTTCAGGGTGCCCCTAAAAACTACGCCTGCAGAGATAGACGTAATGAATAAGTACATTATTGCAGACAAACTGAGCAGTTTTCCTGCATGATGCTTGGTGGAAACGTTTGCAGCTCTGTACATGTACTTTTGGGACCCTGTACTTTGAACCAATTTGTAAGCACTCACTTCCAGACTGACACTTTAATGAGCACTCATTATATATTGACTGTGAGTGAGACTTGAGAGACCTGACGCTCAGACCCGTGCAGTATATTTTAAATTGACTAGGTTCTGCAGTCATGTTTGAGCCTGTCACTTATTTATAATTTGCGCTTAGACAATGCAAAGGTGAAATTACAAGATTGCTTAAAAGACCATTTGAAATTGTATGAACTAGTTTAGAGCAATAAAAAGGGGTAACTTTTTCCTGATGCAGCTGCAAGCCGTCTTCAGAACCTATAAAGTGGTATGGATCTCTTATAACACTTTTCAAGTGTTATTCTACCACTAAGCACGAGCTGGTGATTTTCCACTTGAGGTTTTGGTTATCTGAAGGTCAAACTAGCATAACTGTGCTGTCGCACATGCTAAGAGCAGTGTCTATGATGCTTCTGGTATAAAATCACATGCATGCTGTAAAACTCTGTGTTCTGTTCTCTTATTTACCATCAACAATAAAACCTCTTTTCTTCCTGCGACACATTCCCAGACCTCTCATCTCGACAATAATCAGACACCCAGAACCAGCTCAAATAGAACAGTCCTACAACCTCTCATAAACGCTTTAGGTTCCTTCTGTGCAGTCGAAGTCAAAGCTTATTATTATCATAAAGATTTTGGATTGGGGGATTGTAGGTCAGCATTCAGTTACTTGCATTCTTGGAAATGCTCAGACAAATGCATAATGTCAGTGCATTTTGACTGAGAGCTGCATCACTGCATGCTCCTCGTGTCTCGCGAGGGGATCCTGAGCGGCTTCGTGCTGCTGTAATGCCCAATGCCACGTCGCTCTTGCTCTGTTCCCTTGCAGGAGGCAACACTGACATCTGCATCAGCGCTGGGTCCTGGGGATCTCAGAATAACCAGAGCTGAAGCTTGAATCTGTCCTCCTGCAGAAACGTTGTTCTCACAGGCGGCACAAGTGTGTGTTTTTGTCTGTCACATTCTGTATCTGTGTGAGTGCTAAGCAAAAACTGCCCTAAGACCCAGTTCAGTCCTGGTTTTAGACCTGGTTTATACTTATCCAACACTTGTATTGTGTAATGTTTCAATATCTTTACATGTCATTACTTTAAACGTGTCAGGTTATGTATCTGAGAGTCAAATGTAGTCATCACGAGAGCCGACACCTTCCATAGAGGCCTGTGAGACTTGTATGAAGACATGTTTAGGGCAGATGTGTGGAGATGCCAGGACTGGAAAAAAACAGTGGGGTTTCTTTGTTACTCTCTTATATTCTGTTTACTGAATCAAATATGCAATATATATAATCCTGCTGTCGTATCTGCAATCAACTTAATTTACACTTATTAATGTGTCTTTTCATTGCAACTGACTGAAATGAATAAAGGTTCTCATATACTATGCCAATTTATTGAAATTAGTTTTTTACCATAGTCTCCACTTGTCCTGTGAAAAGAGCCGTTCCTGTCATCTACAGCAAGTCAATTAAGTAAGTAAGTAAGCTTTATTTATATACCGCCTTTCACAGACCAGAGTCACAAAGCGGTTTACAATTGTTATTTTTTGGGCACTTGTCCACTCACTCCACACAGAGACAGGAGTCTATTTATTCTATTCTATTTATCTTTGCTCTACAGTGACCTTTTTGACCCCAATTAAATGTGCATTGTTTGGGAAGCTTACATGTAGTAAGCACATCTCTTTTCTGTCTGCTCATTGATCAAACAGCCCAGCATTTATGTCACTGGTCTACAGCATATGTAGACCAGTAGACCAGTGACATCTTTGCCTTTTCCCCCTGACCCGGAGCCACATGTATGTTTCCAATGGCAGCAGACATCCAAGGACAAGAAGGGAGTCGCACTGGGGATTGAGTGTGACTGAGCGTAGCAACAGATTAGCTTTGCCTGTGACGAGCCACTTATCCTGGGAGACAGGTGTGAAGAATGCTCTCGCCTTGTGGGCAGAAGCCACTGGTCTGGCATCGCTATCCTTCCCAGCGGCGTCAGGCCTGAGGGGAATCCGCCACCCCGGCTTTGTTTGGGGTCAAGTTCAGAGAGTGTTGGCCACAGTGGACGGTGAGACATGTGCTAACACTGTGTATGAGTGTCGGTGCATTCAAGGATCAAGATATTTACATGTGCTGACTAAACACAATTTCTGCGACTAAAGTTGTTTGGCCTTCAAGAAATCACGATACATAAATTCACTATGGCCGCTCAGAGGAGTAATCAAAGCAACAGACTTATATCACTGTGCTGTCGAACGGAACTTTCAAGAGATTCTTTGTTCCTTCGGCTGTCAGACTGTACAACAAACCTTAATGAGTCTTCTGCTGCTAGACACGGGAATTTCTCCCAAGTGGATCACAAAAGTATCTATCTATAAATGATTCAAATTAATCATACAGTAGCTGTGAAAATTGTATTGTTGGTATTGTAATGGTTTCTCTTGGTGTGTGTGTGTGTGTGTGTGTGTGTGTGTGTGTGTGTGTACAGACTGAAATTAAATGTGGTGTGTAGTTAGAATATCAAATGACAAGATGATACATGGTGTTGGCGGGGTATGCACTCTCCAAGCACTTGTCTGAATGGTAGAGTCAAGCTATGGGATATCTCACAGCTTGCTTTTAGATTAAGATAATTGAGACATTATTACCCCACCAACAGTGTCACAAAGTGGAAAGAGGGAGGAATACAGCAATGCAAAATGATTTAATAATGATGATGAAATAAAAGTCCACGAAAAAAACAAACTAAAAATCCAACCAAAACTCAGGAACCAGGAAAACACACAGACAAGGACAGAGACAATACAATGGAGCAACAAGGGGAGAGAAGCACGGAGCACATATAGACACAGCGTGACACGGGCGAAACAAGGGGAACAAGACAGGAAGTAAAACTAAAAATGAAACCGGAGAAAACTAAAGTAAAAATAAAATCAAGTACAAAATAACTAAACATGACAAACAGGCGTGTTATTATAATCATCTGTGTGACAGGATTGCACACAAAAAACAAAAAAACTACATGTCGGATTCAGCTGAAAATGACGTATTTTGGGATGTGATGGTAGGAAAACACAATACGTGGAGTGACTTTTTAGCTCTTGCGAAACTTGAATAATAGTCATTAATCATAACCTTATCATTCTGACCAACTACTGAGCCATTCTAAAGACACAAGAAAATTGGATTTTGTCACACATTTCCTTTTTCCCTGTATCTGTTAATTGGGGCCTCTTACCAGGCTACATTTGCAGTCAGCCGTGTCAGTGGATCGCCAACATTTTTAACTGCGAATGCAAAATTTGTTTTCTTAAAATATAATGTAGATCCTATTCATGTAACAGGCACCAAATGCAAAATGACAACATCTATTCGATAACATTAGTAGAGCCCAAAATCACACTCAAAACTGGTCATTTCCATTATTTTATAGCAAATAGCTAAATCAATCAATGAAGTCATTAAACAAATTTCAAATGCACAAAGCCCCAAAACCAATCCGGATACAATACACTTTTTTTGTTGTAATTTTTTGTAATACACCAGTGCCTTGAAGGGACTGTATGTCATATGTTCAATTAGTGTGAACAATGAGAACACAGTCAACACGAAAACAGTATCATTGTGTATTTGCAACTGCATGCCCAAAACTCTACATTTACTGTTTTGTCTCCAGTACAGTATGTCGTCCCACAGGAGCCTCTCATAAGAGCCGCGCCACAATGCATCCTTCCGTCTGTTCATTAACACTCCATCACCGACGAATGAAGGGACATAAACTGGGGATGAAATAGCGCCTGAAACAAGTGTTTAAAATGATGGCTGCTCTATACGCTCTACTCGAGTGCACCCAAGGGTAAAATTAGACACAGGGAAAATGACCTTAAAGTGGCGCCTAGCTTCATGGCAGCGTGGCGGGGGGTGCGCTTGTGAAGAGATGGAGGTACAAACTCGAGGGGGGGTTAACTTTTGAAAGATGTGTGAAAGCTGGCTGAATAATTATCTCTTCTTCTTCTTCTTCTTCTCGTCGCAGACTTTCATATTGTATCCAGGCGGTTCAATGTCCTGGCAGTTCTATCAGCAAGGACAGCAGTTATTCTTTCTGCTATTTAGTCACAAATTATTATGATAGTATAGCAAAACAAACGAGGCATATGGCTGTTGCATTGAGTGGTTTCGATCTATAAACGCCGGCATCGGGAATGGGGCAGTCTAGAATTACCTGGCACTATCCAGAGACACTAAAGACGGCAATATTGCAAACAGTGTGATGGGGAGAGCGCAGAGGGAGCGTTTCTCTCCTAATTCCACCCGGGCCATCTCCTCAGTATGGACAGCTTCTCTCGGCTCACCTCAGATATTAGCTCTGCAACAATAGAACTTGTCATTTGCAATGCTGTAAAATTCTCAGCACGATTGCCCTTCTTTTGTGCCCGGCTCCGTCTGTGCCATATACAGAGAAATGGGATCACAGATTTTCGCCTGTCAGGCAGGATTTGAATAAATGGTGCTCTTCAAAGACTATTTTTCCTCATTTGCGAGCGAAAGGGTTCATTTGTTTTGTAATTTGTAACGGGGCGAAGCGCAAGTTGACGGGTCCAGAGATGAAGGGAAACAGTGGGGAGAGCAAGGCATTGTGGGTAGCTTCAGGTGTGAGGTTCTTGTTAAGAGGTAATGGAGCAACCTGCAGTACTTAGGAGATATTAAACGGACAGAGCAGGTTGCGTCTCTCATTAGCTACCGGTGGTAACGGGTCAAGAGCCGGTGCAGTGAGAGTATGAATGATGCGCAGAAGGCAAGACTGCTATTTTTAGACCAGAGGTGAAAGGAAAGATGCACAGTGTGTTTGTTGTGTGAGCAGTGTTGCAATATTAATCAATTATCATGCCACATGGATATCACATTTGACATAAAGTTACAATTGTTGCAATACGAGGTTTTGAGGTACAGTAGTTACATCAAACCGCTGCTTCTAAAAGTTCCTCACTTTGGTTAAACCCTCAGTCAAAGAAATGACAGAGGCAGAGAGTGTCCGATTAGGCCGTTTGTAGCAATCCTTTGAAGCAATGTAATTCAATGGCCATACTTGCATGCGAAAGCCAGATCCTGTCAGACCTCTGAGGGTGCAAAGGGCAGGGCCTGGTTAGTATTGAGATGGGAAAACCAGGTGCCACAGTGGGGCGGCTGGGTGCTAAGCTGTCATTGTGTCCTTAGAAAAGACACTTCACTCACATTGCCTAGAATGAGTATGATGTGTGTGCGTGAATGGCTGCTGGTGGTCGGAGGGGCCGATGGCACATACTGGTTGCCTTGCTTCTGTCAGTGTGCCCCAGGGCAGCTGTGGCTACAGTAGTTTATCACCACCGTGTTTGGAGTGAAAGAATAATGACATGTGAAGAATCTTTGTGTGTCCAAAAATGCACTATATAAAACCGATGCATTATTATCATTAATGCTTCAAACATTGAATTACACTTGGAACAAACCCAAGCCCAAGGTCTGTGTATAAATAATTTATATATTTCCTTTTAGAATAACATTTTCCTTCATTGATAGAGTAAACAGTTTGGTATTGTTTTACTTCAGCGATGCATTCATTATGTTACAGTGATAAAAAAAAAATCCGAGACAAAATAATAAAACCTGACTTTAGATTGTAAAGTCAAGACCTTGTCAAAATGCGGCCAAAGGGTCACATACAGGCTCATTCACCTTTCTATCCCGCCCTGTTGTGTTTCCCTAAACCTTTTACAGAGGTCACTTTCATTGAATTTGTTATGAATTTTATTCATTTATTTCCCCAAAAAACTATTTTCATATATTTTATGTTTGGTACAAGAAGATTTACAATGAAAAAACAAGCAAAGAAAAACATGACCAAACAAAGAGCCTTGATAATCGTCATTTATAGTTTTCCTCAGACCCCATTCGATCTGTTAAAAGCAGAAGTGACTGACAGAATGACAGAACAGACACAGAACAGTTGTAATGGACTCATGTTTGACGCCGGGCTGGCTGTCGCTGTGGCCCTCGCTCCATTCACTTCTCTCACTCACGTTGGGGGTACAGAGGAAGGCAGTGTTTTTCTACCAGAATCCTTTTGAAAGACAGCCACACCAAGTTGCCATATACCTCCATGTTTTATCAGCATTTTGCAGTTTGTTATGGTGGTATCTGGGTTGGCTACGGTTTCATCGCATGTTTGTATCAAAATGATATAAGTAACACATGTAAAAAAAATAGGAGAAATATATTGAAACTGAAAAACAAAACTCGTTATGCGGATGTCTTCATAAAATCTTCTATGTCTAGCAACATTTAATAACACTTATATTCTCTTTTTATCCACATTCTCCCCATTGTATTAAAAAAATGGTTTGAGGAGCAGTTATAGTTTTGCATCATCTATACAACAGGCTATAAAACACCACTTTGTCACAGTCCAGAGAAAGCACATATAGATTGGTGGTTGTACTGTATATAAACATATGTACTGGTTTAAGATAATTTTGCGTGCATGGCTGGCTCCCATACTCCTCTGCTTTCCGGACTTATTGAAAGAACTCGCAACTCAGAGTTCAAACGAAAAAGGCATCCAGATTTCTTCACTGGCACAATGGACATTTTGTTCCTCTAAAACGTGGTCTTTTGGAAAGAAACCGCAATCTCGTTCTTTTCTTTGCGCCACAGTGGCAGCTCAGCAGTGTGAGTCTGTCCTGGCTGTGTTATAGCTGCTGATCCCATAGACATCCATAGATTTCCACATGTTTTTTTTCCCCCCGGACAATGTTTGGCGTAGTTATGCATGTAATATCTCTTTCCTCTAGAAAAATGTCTCAACAACACAAACACAGGCAATGTCAATGAAACACTGAGGCGCTGAATCTCCATTTTTTGTAAAGTGCATCTGTGCCCCCTTGTTTGTACGAAGAACAAAGGAGATAGATGATGCCGTTTGTGACGCCAAACGAAGCAACATATGGGAGAATGTTGTTTGGTCTTCTGTTCTTCTAAGCAGAGTTTTCAGACAGTCTCTTCAAGTCATATCCCTTCATTTACTTTCCAGAGCGTAGGAAATAAATGACTAATAGTGTTTTTATCATCTTAGTTCATACTGTACACATGATTTGTCTTTTGAGTAAAGTCAATCCAGTATATAGAAGGTTCCTGCTATCACACATAGTACTCCTTATCTTTATTTTTCTTGTTCTTTCCCGATGTTTTTGCGGTGTTGACAGGCTTTTCCTTGACAATCGTACCGTTGGACTGCGCCGAGTTGCTAATGTAGTTTCGGCTCTCGTCTACGTGATAAGAGCCCTCGTCCCTGTTGCGATACTTGTACATGGCGTATAGTAGGATGAGGATGCAGAGCGCCGCGGCTGCCACAATGCCCACCACCATCCCTGTTGTGCTGCTGGACTCGCGGAAGACCTCAGCCGATCCGGGGAATCTTTTGGGGCTGGCACCGGTGGGGTTGGCTGGGGGACAAAAGACATTAAAAAGAATTAAATTTCACGTGGAAATCTCCTTAAATTCATGCTATATCCAGTGTTGGAAGGTAACAATCTTAGCAATGCTTTTTACATGATGGGGTCCTGTCAACAAGAAGTTAGTATGATCCAAAAAAATGTGTACTTTTCTTGTTTGTGTGTTTTCTTCCTCCGACACTCCAGCCTTTGACTTGTTTGTGAGCTTTCTAGCTGTAAATTTCACTGCAGTACAGAATCTATCAATCTATCTATCTCTGTAGAGAAATAATGCACTATTCTTCACAGGGTCAAAATACATTATGTAATTTTTGTATTTTTGAAAGATTATTTAGATGCTGTTATCTGGTTTGGTGTTGGAGTCCTACTTCCTTTGTTGCTATTGTAAACTCTCCTAAACTTAGCTCAGTGAGTAATGGTCTCTGAGATGGAGTTATCAGTGACTCCGTGCTGAAAAAGGCGTGTGTACTGTAAGATGCACTCCAAAATAGTCTCCAGTTGAGTCAGCACATTTGGCCAAAGGCTTTCCCCTCTATCTGAGTTTTAAATAGCTCCAATGAATGGAGAGTGTTCTGAAAGGTTCCTGATATTCCACAGTCTGCTTGGCACATGCATTTTGCTGTGGTCATCATTTCTGTCTAGGCTATTCTTTGTTTTTTGTCAGATGTCATATTTTGCACCGACAACTATGTTGAAATAAATAATATATCTGCTTCAGGTTTGATGCGTTTGAAGAAGGTGACATCATTTAAGTTGGCCTCACAATACATTTAGTGGTCATTATTCAGGGTCAGCATTTGACTTTTTTGCTAGCCTGGGAATAGCCATTCTGCTGTACTACTGCTTTGGAGAGTTTTGAGAATATTTTATCACATCCATTTTATTGTTCAAATATGAGTGAAGCAGACTCAATGACAGAATTTGCTGTGGCCAAGTGACAAGTGTGAAATCTGTCGCCTGAGAAGCCGTTCTATTTTACTGAACAACTTTAGACTAACTTAGTTTTAATTCATCTTTGAATTATTTATTTATTTAACTAGTACCCACTGTTCAGGGTGCCCCTAAAAACTACGCCTGCAGAGATAGACGTAATGAATAAGTACATTATTGCAGACAAACTGAGCAGTTTTCCTGCATGATGCTTGGTGGAAACGTTTGCAGCTCTGTACATGTACTTTTGGGACCCTGTACTTTGAACCAATTTGTAAGCACTCACTTCCAGACTGACACTTTAATGAGCACTCATTATATATTGACTGTGAGTGAGACTTGAGAGACCTGACGCTCAGACCCGTGCAGTATATTTTAAATTGACTAGGTTCTGCAGTCATGTTTGAGCCTGTCACTTATTTATAATTTGCGCTTAGACAATGCAAAGGTGAAATTACAAGATTGCTTAAAAGACCATTTGAAATTGTATGAACTAGTTTAGAGCAATAAAAAGGGGTAACTTTTTCCTGATGCAGCTGCAAGCCGTCTTCAGAACCTATAAAGTGGTATGGATCTCTTATAACACTTTTCAAGTGTTATTCTACCACTAAGCACGAGCTGGTGATTTTCCACTTGAGGTTTTGGTTATCTGAAGGTCAAACTAGCATAACTGTGCTGTCGCACATGCTAAGAGCAGTGTCTATGATGCTTCTGGTATAAAATCACATGCATGCTGTAAAACTCTGTGTTCTGTTCTCTTATTTACCATCAACAATAAAACCTCTTTTCTTCCTGCGACACATTCCCAGACCTCTCATCTCGACAATAATCAGACACCCAGAACCAGCTCAAATAGAACAGTCCTACAACCTCTCATAAACGCTTTAGGTTCCTTCTGTGCAGTCGAAGTCAAAGCTTATTATTATCATAAAGATTTTGGATTGGGGGATTGTAGGTCAGCATTCAGTTACTTGCATTCTTGGAAATGCTCAGACAAATGCATAATGTCAGTGCATTTTGACTGAGAGCTGCATCACTGCATGCTCCTCGTGTCTCGCGAGGGGATCCTGAGCGGCTTCGTGCTGCTGTAATGCCCAATGCCACGTCGCTCTTGCTCTGTTCCCTTGCAGGAGGCAACACTGACATCTGCATCAGCGCTGGGTCCTGGGGATCTCAGAATAACCAGAGCTGAAGCTTGAATCTGTCCTCCTGCAGAAACGTTGTTCTCACAGGCGGCACAAGTGTGTGTTTTTGTCTGTCACATTCTGTATCTGTGTGAGTGCTAAGCAAAAACTGCCCTAAGACCCAGTTCAGTCCTGGTTTTAGACCTGGTTTATACTTATCCAACACTTGTATTGTGTAATGTTTCAATATCTTTACATGTCATTACTTTAAACGTGTCAGGTTATGTATCTGAGAGTCAAATGTAGTCATCACGAGAGCCGACACCTTCCATAGAGGCCTGTGAGACTTGTATGAAGACATGTTTAGGGCAGATGTGTGGAGATGCCAGGACTGGAAAAAAACAGTGGGGTTTCTTTGTTACTCTCTTATATTCTGTTTACTGAATCAAATATGCAATATATATAATCCTGCTGTCGTATCTGCAATCAACTTAATTTACACTTATTAATGTGTCTTTTCATTGCAACTGACTGAAATGAATAAAGGTTCTCATATACTATGCCAATTTATTGAAATTAGTTTTTTACCATAGTCTCCACTTGTCCTGTGAAAAGAGCCGTTCCTGTCATCTACAGCAAGTCAATTAAGTAAGTAAGTAAGTAAGTAAGCTTTATTTATATACCGCCTTTCACAGACCAGAGTCACAAAGCGGTTTACAATTGTTATTTTTTGGGCACTTGTCCACTCACTCCACACAGAGACAGGAGTCTATTTATTCTATTCTATTTATCTTTGCTCTACAGTGACCTTTTTGACCCCAATTAAATGTGCATTGTTTGGGAAGCTTACATGTAGTAAGCACATCTCTTTTCTGTCTGCTCATTGATCAAACAGCCCAGCATTTATGTCACTGGTCTACAGCATATGTAGACCAGTAGACCAGTGACATCTTTGCCTTTTCCCCCTGACCCGGAGCCACATGTATGTTTCCAATGGCAGCAGACATCCAAGGACAAGAAGGGAGTCGCACTGGGGATTGAGTGTGACTGAGCGTAGCAACAGATTAGCTTTGCCTGTGACGAGCCACTTATCCTGGGAGACAGGTGTGAAGAATGCTCTCGCCTTGTGGGCAGAAGCCACTGGTCTGGCATCGCTATCCTTCCCAGCGGCGTCAGGCCTGAGGGGAATCCGCCACCCCGGCTTTGTTTGGGGTCAAGTTCAGAGAGTGTTGGCCACAGTGGACGGTGAGACATGTGCTAACACTGTGTATGAGTGTCGGTGCATTCAAGGATCAAGATATTTACATGTGCTGACTAAACACAATTTCTGCGACTAAAGTTGTTTGGCCTTCAAGAAATCACGATACATAAATTCACTATGGCCGCTCAGAGGAGTAATCAAAGCAACAGACTTATATCACTGTGCTGTCGAACGGAACTTTCAAGAGATTCTTTGTTCCTTCGGCTGTCAGACTGTACAACAAACCTTAATGAGTCTTCTGCTGCTAGACACGGGAATTTCTCCCAAGTGGATCACAAAAGTATCTATCTATAAATGATTCAAATTAATCATACAGTAGCTGTGAAAATTGTATTGTTGGTATTGTAATGGTTTCTCTTGTGGTGTGTGTGTGTGTGTGTGTGTGTGTGTGTGTGTGTGTGTGTACAGACTGAAATTAAATGTGGTGTGTAGTTAGAATATCAAATGACAAGATGATACATGGTGTTGGCGGGGTATGCACTCTCCAAGCACTTGTCTGAATGGTAGAGTCAAGCTATGGGATATCTCACAGCTTGCTTTTAGATTAAGATAATTGAGACATTATTACCCCACCAACAGTGTCACGAAGTGGAAAGAGGGAGGAATACAGCAATGCAAAATGATTTAATAATGATGATGAAATAAAAGTCCACGAAAAAAACAAACTAAAAATCCAACCAAAACTCAGGAACCAGGAAAACACACAGACAAGGACAGAGACAATACAATGGAGCAACAAATGAAACCGGAGAGAAAACTAAAGTAAAAATAAAATCAAGTACAAAATAACTAAACATGACAAACAGGCGTGTTATTATAATCATCTGTGTGACAGGATTGCACACAAAAAACAAAAAAACTACATGTCGGATTCAGCTGAAAATGACGTATTTTGGGATGTGATGGTAGGAAAACACAATACGTGGAGTGACTTTTTAGCTCTTGCGAAACTTGAATAATAGTCATTAATCATAACCTTATCATTCTGACCAACTACTGAGCCATTCTAAAGACACAAGAAAATTGGATTTTGTCACACATTTCCTTTTTCCCTGTATCTGTTAATTGGGGCCTCTTACCAGGCTACATTTGCAGTCAGCCGTGTCAGTGGATCGCCAACATTTTTAACTGCGAATGCAAAATTTGTTTTCTTAAAATATAATGTAGATCCTATTCATGTAACAGGCACCAAATGCAAAATGACAACATCTATTCGATAACATTAGTAGAGCCCAAAATCACACTCAAAACTGGTCATTTCCATTATTTTATAGCAAATAGCTAAATCAATCAATGAAGTCATTAAACAAATTTCAAATGCACAAAGCCCCAAAACCAATCCGGATACAATACACTTTTTTTGTTGTAATTTTTTGTAATACACCAGTGCCTTGAAGGGACTGTATGTCATATGTTCAATTAGTGTGAACAATGAGAACACAGTCAACACGAAAACAGTATCATTGTGTATTTGCAACTGCATGCCCAAAACTCTACATTTACTGTTTTGTCTCCAGTACAGTATGTCGTCCCACAGGAGCCTCTCATAAGAGCCGCGCCACAATGCATCCTTCCGTCTGTTCATTAACACTCCATCACCGACGAATGAAGGGACATAAACTGGGGATGAAATAGCGCCTGAAACAAGTGTTTAAAATGATGGCTGCTCTATACGC